AAATCCTTGCCTCTCCCTTTGACCTAGCTAATTTCAGTTCAGTTAAGGTATCTTAGGTTGGGTTTTTTGAATTGAACCGGTCGGTCTGCATCAGGGCTTGGGGGAAAAGACAAGTTTGGTGAGGTGACAACAATAGAGAGTAGGGGAGAAGATAAGGATTCTTGTGAGGGAAGAAAGTGATGAACGATGAGCTAGTGAATGTTAATGGAGAGAGGAGGGAATGTTAAAAGCAATGGAACAAGGAGGCAAAGAGGGATTTAGAGGTGGAAGTGGACGCTAATGATTACGATGATGGAAGCGGCTAAAAATGTCATGGATGAGCAGAGAAAAGAACAACATCGATTTAGGTTAGAGGAAAAAGAAATGATATTGTTTTAACATTTCAAGTACAAACTAAAGGGGTAAAGTATCAATTTAATCCCCAAAATTACACTATTATATTAATTTTATTCATAAAATTGTAAAAATCTCAATTTATTTCTTTAAATTTTTTATTAAAAAAAATCACTTTAGTCCCCTAAAATAGCCGTTACATATAATTTTTTGAAATTAGTCCATCCAACTTAAAATTATATTTCAATTTTAGTTCTTTTGGTTTCAATTTCTTTTTCTTTATTTTTCCTCTAACATTCTTCTTTTACTCTATTATTCAACTTAATATTCTTCTTCTTCACCAAAAGTACACTGAAGAGATTGATCATAAGTAAAAAATTCAATCCAAAGATTGTGCAATGTCTTCAAATTCACAAGGAAGCCATAATGGAGCCAATACTTAAAATCTCTAAAACTCGAGAATCATGGTAAATCATTATATGGTTGTGCTAAATATGAGGTAAGTAATTTATTTTGATGGGTGTTTGTGGTTGTTGGTATTTATATTTTTTTGTGTTTTTGTGTTTTAAGAATCTTGGTAACTTCAAGCTAGTACTTATTTATTTTATTTTTTTCAATTGCAGGAAGGAAACCATTATAACTATTTTTGGTAGAGTGATGATGGAGTAGTGGGTATGTCTAAAAGTGTGAAGTTACAAATACGGTATCATAAGTGACGTTCAGAAGTGAAAGATTAATTTGACATGAAAAATTAACTATTTAGAGGCTGAAATTAGAAATCTATAAAAAAAATCATTGTTGTAATGTTTATTGTGATTATTATTGGTTTCATAGTGTTGAATTCAATATGTTTAAGAAAGTAGTGAATGCAAGATTACACATGGGTTAAAAATGTTAAGCTAAACCAATGTAATCAACAATATTTAAAAAATTAAGTAATTTTAGTGATTTTTCTCCCTATAATTTTTTCTATGTTTCAGAGTGTTAAGTTCATTTAGTTGTGTATACAGACTGATTTTATTGTAAACCATTATAAAAATAGCCTCAATCCTATTAACCTTTTCCTAAAAAAAATGTAGTGCTTTAAATGCAAACAATATTGGTAATATGATTGGAGTTAGGGTTTACGATTTGGTTTGGGATTGAGGATTCGATTTGAGTTTTGAGATTGGAATGAAATTGAGAGTTCGATGAAAAGGAAGAAGAAACAGTGGAGAAGAGAAGATAAATATCTATGATGAAGGTTAAAGATGAATAATAGGATTCAAGAACCAAATTGTAATGAAATTAAAAGTAAAAATAAAAAAAATTATAATTTATCATCTCAGTACCACATCAGCATTATCCACACTTTAACATAAGCAGTAGTCAAAGCAAACTAACAAGAGCTACTAACATAAAACAAAAGTTTAAATTTTGAAGATTAAATTAAGACTTTTACAATTTTATTGACGATAACAATACAATTTTAGAGATCAAATTGATATTTTACTCTAAATTAAAGTGATAAAAATTTGACAAAATTGAGAAGTAACATGTTTATTTAAAAATTTCAAAAACTAATTTACTCAACTTTTTCAATTTAGATACTAAAATTAGAATTTGCTCAAATTGACTCCACCAAATACTCAATCACGTACAAAGCTATCTAATGTAGATAAATGATAGTTTTTTAAGTATATCTTTGAAAAACATGTACTTTTAAAAAATCAAAAATAAAAATGTTTTTATATAATATTAATTTTTAGTTATCCAAATAAAAAAAACTCCAAATGAGATAGGCTAGAGCATTCTTGCTTGCAACATCAAATTTTGACCAGATTAAAAATACTTTTTTATCATTTTAATAAGTATATAATTACATATTCAAAATTTATAACAAAATTTTCATAGTTCTAAATAAAATTAGTTTACAATAACTAAAATGTAGACACAATTATAGCCTTAGAAGGATCTTGGGGTCGATAGTGGTGATAGACACGACTAACCATCTCCTTCTTCGCCACAATCAGCACAACCCCTCAAGCAACGAAAGAAAGAGATAAAACTAATAAAATATCATACTACTACTACTGGGTGAAACATCATTATTTTGACCATATAGTCATTTCAAGTGTCACTTTAACAAAGGTTAACACTAACTTAAGTGTTCAATGCTTCACAAAGCCAAAAATTTATTGACTCATTTTAAAATTTGATGCTCAGTAGAGCTGGACAACAATCGAATTTAGGTGAGTTTGGATCTTAAAACTCATTAATGGAGCAAAATCCCCCTACCAATCTAAGCCACTTCCATCTGAATAGTCTCTCAAGTTGAAATAAGTAGATTAAGGTAGGTCTCAAAGATGAAACACTATCTATAAAAGATGAAGCATCATCAAAGACTACCTCAAAGATGAAACTCATAAATCCTAATCCAACAACAATCATAATGGTGCAAGAGAAAAAAAAAAGGTAAGAGAAAATAGAAAAAACACAAACACATGCAATCACAAAAGAGAGATGCAAATTTTGAGAAAAATCAAAATTGAAAGAAGAAGATGATCAAAGAAAACCATTAAATCACTAACGAAAACGAGAAGCAACCTGTACAAGCCTAAGCATCGATCATACAAACTGACCAAAGATGAATATCATTAGCGAAAGTTTTAGAAAAGGAAGTGGCACAGGAAAAAAATTAGAATGAAAAACAAAATAGAATTAGGATTTTTTTTTTATTTTTTTTTTAAGGACCATTATTTTCAGTCGAGTTAAATTTTCTGTGTTAGAAAAATTGTCACCCGTACTCAAATGAGCATCGGGTTGACCCACACCAACCCATCCACCAAACACCGTTCGTTCTTCAGTTTTGCAGGTTTCGGTTGGAGGTATTTATTTTTTTAATGTTTTTTAAAAAATAAATTTTTAAAATAATATTTTTTAAAAACAAATTTTCTGTCAGAGTCTTTTTTGTCAAGTTAGTAACTGTTTTGTCTACTTGATGAAATTTATTTTTTATTTTTTAAATAATATTTCGTCTTCAACTGAAACTATCAGATCATGTTTGAATCAATTTATGAAATTAGTTAAAAAAATTTATATTCTAATATTTAATTAAATTTTATTAAAAATAGAAAATTATAATATCTAAGAATAAAAAAATTATATAATTTTAATTAACTTAATTAACAACTACAAATATATTAAAAATATATTAAGATTACACTGTGTATACTATATTGTGTATACTGTATGACACTAAAGAGAAGATTTATTAATAAAATTATAAATTTAAAAAGAATTATCATGAGTCACATTTTTTTTTCAAACTATTTTCATAAATTAGTTGAAATATGACAAAATCTTAATATTTATATAATAAATATTTATTTTTTATAATTTTTTATATATTTTTTTTCTTAAATTAAATATGTTTATAGTTATATCAATAGGGCTAATTTATTATTTTAATGTTTTTTAAAAAATAAATTTTTAAAATAGTATTTTTTAAAAACATATTTTTTGTCTCAGATTTTTTTTTGCTACGTTAGTAGCTATTTTGTCTAATGTCTCAACAAAACATATTTAATTAAAAAATAAAAAAATATAATATTTAATTAAAATGTATTAAAAAATCATAATATTTAATTTAAAAATAAATTATTAAAATTTACATAATTTTTAATTAAATTAATTAATAATTAAAAATATATTAAAAGTATATAGTGTTAAGATTTTGTTAACTTTAGTTTTAATATCTATAAAAAAATACATATTTATTATATAATTATTAAAAAAAAATTTATCACACCTAACTTACAAAACTAGTTTGAAAAAAGAAAAAAAAAATGTGACTCACTTTAAAATGACAATTATTTTAATTTATAATTTTATTAGCAAGTCTTTTTTTTTAATATCAGTGCAATCTCAATATATATTTTTAATATATTTATAGTTATTAATTAAGTTAATTATAAATTATATAATTTTTTATTCTTGAATATTATAATTTTTTATTTTTTAACTAGTTTCGTAAATTAATCCTGACACTGTATCATGAATTATATCTCTATAGCAAACGAAACTCATTAAATGATGACACATAATGTAATCTGATAGTTTTATTTCTACTGAAGATAAAATAATATTTAAAAATTTTTTATCAAGACAGTAGACAAAATAATTACTGACAAAAAAGACCTCAGAGACAAAATATGGTTTTAAAAAATATTATTTAAAAAATTTATTTTTAAAAAACATTAAAAAAATAAATAAGCCTTCAGTGGTGCAAATCCTGCACACCGCTGACACTGACTACTCACAATATCATAGACTAATCTAAAAGTTAGTTTTCACGACTATTTCTTTTGCAAATATAAGGATACCCAAGTTATTTTGAATGAACTTTACGAAACTCTTCACATCAAGTCCACACAAAATACGCAATAATATATAGCAGCCGAATTAAATATAAATTATTAAACTCACTACATGAAATAACATAATATAAAATTGCTTCCAAATATTTTGGACATTCAGTACACGCTGGCTTTTTCTAGCCCAGGGTTTAAACAATTAAACTCTTGTCGTGATGATTTGGAACCAAACCATACACGCGTCATTCTCAACTAAAAAAATATAATTTAAAATGAAAAAGAGTATGTATGAAAAATTACTCTCTTTACTTAGCCATGAGCTAACAATATACAGCATAAATTACTACAAACACGGTAAACACCTTGCATTTACAGTAATCAATAAATTGTTACAAGCAGCAAGGTCTCCCCAGTCCAACAATTGCCTGCCCCTCACTTGTACCTTTCTCTTGCACAAATAACCGACCAGAATCCTCAAGAGTTTGTACCTTCAGAGTGAAGTTCAACCACAGGCCACAAAGCATGCTGGGGAAACCAAGAAAGATTTTAGGGGTATTTACAGTCTGCAACTCAAATGAGTCTTGTTCTTGGGGATCCACCGGGTGTGTGGACTTTGTATAAAGATGCTTCATGCCAAGGATCAAGAGTGAATGTAGCATTTGATCTTACTGGATATGATGGGAGTGTATTTTGTCCCATCATTGTGTAAGTTGGATGAGGAGGAGAAAGGAAACAGCTCTTGTGTGCTGGCCCATACTGTCTCAATGGACTTGAACAGGGAGATACTGGTAAAGATGTGATCATTCTTGTGTTATCTCTGAAGGGAGATATAGTACACCAAGTCAGTCCAAATAACAAGAAAATGATTCACCATATGCCTAGAGATGCCAAACCATTATTTATTAATAACAAAAAGTCGGATATCTAACCTTGGGCTCCTTACTGCTCGTGAAGTTACAGGAGCTGGCTTTGTTGCATAATCTCCATCCAGTGAAGTTATGCTTGTTCTATGGGAATGAAGCTCTAAAGCTGTCTGCTGCAAAGGAATCCAAGCAAACAGAAAGTTAGCTCCAGCCCAACAATGACCACAGACACTGATTTTCAGAACCTGTGCAACTTTAAACATCACAACGTTCACTCGAGCAATATCCGCATTAGAAATGTGGCTTCAAATGAACCAATATCTAATCTTGAAGACTGTTGCAATCTAGGATTACCTGGCGGCAATAAATTCTCTATAAAGCTACATAGGATATACTTCACTTTTACCAAACTAAACTTACAAATTGAACTATGTAACGCATACATCACAAAAGACTAAACAATGAGATAAAATCCTGACATACAGTATTATAGGACCTCTGCATAACTATCAAGTATGTTGTTTATCATTTATTCCACGATCCATTATTGGATAACCTCAAGTGATGAAATTGCCCAAACTTCAAGACGATTGCAACATGTTTTAATCACCCCCTTTGTAATGATTATGCCACAATATGTAGGAACTAGCTTGTAACACCGAACAAAAATAAACAAGGAAAATAAATACGAATCAAGGACTGTACCGGTGTCCGACTTCCATCAAACATGTAGGGGAAAGCATCCCTCGTTATTCTGACATTTGTAGCTTTTGTTGCTGATTGATCTCGAATAAAAGGGTGATCTAGTAACTTTTGGGCTGTTGGGCGGGCCGATGGATCTCTTTGTAAGCATAGGTTAATGAAATTCTTTGCATCATTTGAGAGATGATTAGGAATTTCAGGCATATCTTTGCTGTTACCAATTTTAAATATTGCTGCTACCTGTTGAATGCAAACATTAAAAAAAAATTTGGTCCCTTGTACTTTTCAAATAGGCTCATAACAAACATGCAAATAAATTCTAGTTCTAACTATCCAATATCGCACCCCTTCATATTGATTCCAAGGAGGCTTCGATGTTGCCATTTCAAGAATTGTGCATCCTAAGCTCCATATATCAACAGGAAGATTATAGCCATTTGTATTCATCACAACCTAAGAAAGCGAACAAGGATACATTACAACTTACAGTGGCAGAGAGAATGACAGAGAGAAAGTGAGGGAAGGATGTGCTTGTGCAAAATAAGTTACAAGATCTAAGAAGAAAGGAGAACAAAAATTACCTCAGGTGCCATCCAGTATGGACTTCCCTTGAAAGAAAGCATTGAGGTAGAAGAATTTATCTGGTTCAAACAAACATAATTTAGAGGTGATGCCCATCATAAATCAGAAATCAACCAAAAAGTTATGCATTCTGGAACGCTATTCCCCTACCAATTTTTCTAAAACTCTAGTCCATTTTCAATGCGGTCCTGATCATATAAGCTTATTTATGCTATTTAGCTTTGAATTATAAAAGATAGCAAAGAGTTGAGAAAGCGCAAAGCATGTTTGAGAACCAGAAGCATTCTAGATCTCATTCTCTGCGGGTGTGCACAAATGAGAGAGAGAAATCATGTCTCTGCCACTAGGCATCAGATATGAATATGAGTGGAAATTCAAATTTAAGCTGTGGCAAAAGAAGCGTTTTTAGGTGTCCACTCCCCATAAATTTTACAACATGTATATGGCATAATTTATTTTACTTGAAACAATACATATTGTTTACTTTTTAAGTGAGCCCAGAAGCAATTCATTTTTTAAAGCATATTTGTACGATAAACTTACGTGTTTAGCCATTCCAAAATCTGCCAGCTTGATTTCACCATTAGGATCAACTAGTATATTAGCCCCTTTGATATCCCTGTGAATATAAAAACGTATCAATAATTTAAGATAGTCAATAAGCAATCATTTTCATGTTATAAATAGAGACAGAATGACCATATTACCTATGCACTGTATTTCTCCCATGAAGATAGGAAAGTCCAGAGACAATCTGCCTGGTATAATTTTGAATAACAGGCTCCTTGAAGGCCCCATATTCCTGAAGTAATTTATGAATAGAACCACCAGAGACATATTCCAAATAAACAGAAAGGGTTTCTTCTCCCTGCAAATATGGCATACATTTATAAATTGATCTCACCCATAATTTTTTTATATGTCTATCTCTCTCTGGGTGCACACAACTATAATATGTATGTATGGCATACAGGATTCAGAACTTGGAATATTTTAGCCATACCAAGTCACTCCCGTAGTATTGAACGATGTTGGGATGTGAAAGCTGACTGAGCAAATGGATCTCCTACAAATAAATGGAGAAATGGTATAGATTAAATGGTGATCAGACACATGAAAACAAACTTTGATGCAACAGAACGAGGAATTGCAAAAGTGCTAGTGTTTGTTGAAGGCTTAAAGCATCATTCATAAATCTTCAAAAGATAACAGAATTACCTGATTAAGTTGTTTGAGGCACTCTTTGGATGTTTGATCATCACAGATAACCCTGACTTCCTTTATTGCACACAAATGTCCACTATCACTATCAAAGTTTCAATACAAGCATTTTAGAGAGGGTAGACCAAACACAGGAAACAGAATATATATAATTTCAGTAATTTGCCCATAATTTGGACGTTCGTACAAAATGCAGTCTGAAAGAAGGCTGATGACGTCATTCTGTAAACATAGCTGTGCTTCTATTGGTTACTTGGACAGCAATATTTACTTTGTAACCTAAATATTTGCTTATACATTACAACTGCTAGGCAGCAAAAACCACAAATTCTTCCTTTAAAATATTCAGGGAGTGAAAATTATACATGATATAAAGTTGTTGCAGCCTAACCCAAAAGAGAATTGAAAGTAATTTTGCTTCACTGGAAAATAAAAAACAACCCAATACCTATTGAATCCCAGGTAAACATGCCCAAATGTTCCCCGTCCTAGAAGCTTTCCTTTCTTCCACTTGGAAGTGTTACTGATAGTGTTTTCTGGCAGTCCATTTGCTCTTGTATTGGAAAGAGAAGAAGGACTAGTAGGAGAACCTGGTGGAAGAGGCAAAGGGTGACATTGACTCTTTCCATCTTCTTGCTTGCCTGTAGGGGAGTCAAGACTCAAAACATGTAACCTGGGATGAAGAGGTGAGGTAGGGCTGGTGGGGCCCCTTGACCCAGGACCTGGGCTTTTAGACCTCACATTGAACTTCATGTCACCTTGTACTCTAGCATAAGGAAACAGCATCGATTAGTTTTACAGCAGATTGAATTAAGAACACTAAAACACCCTGATAAACAAACTGAACAGTTAATGTCCACTGAGTTCCTTTTTCCTTGCACTCTCCATGCTAAAGTGAACGTTGCTTGTAACTTATCAGCCTCCCATATTTATAATTAGAAGGTAAAAACCATTTCGCATAAGCATCTATCCTTGAATTCATTATGAATAAATATATATAAAAAAGAAAGTAACAAATAATTTTTGCATAAACTTCACCTAAATCAATTGGAATGACTAAGAAGCCCGAAGCAGATATTTTGGAAGGGGGGTTGATGGTAGGTAGTTAACTTCCTACAGAAAAAAGGGACAAGACCTAATATTAACAAACTTGTCCGTCGAGATTTAGATCTTCATTTTCCCCAAATAAATCCATACTGAAAGTCTGAAACTACAAATTCAGACTTTTAAAACAGAAATTCCAGAATGGATAATTCCAAATCTCCAATTATACTATAAAAAAGCGCCAAAAACGACGAAGTATAAACCATAAAACCGTCATTCACAGGACAAACAATAATCTAATCTATCTAAAGAGAGTGAGAATAAAAAGTCCAGCTCAAACACCGAAGAAAATTGCATTTAGGCATGAACCGAATTACACAAACAAGGGGCAAAAGAGAGGAGAAGCCTTAAAATTAAAGGAAAGGAAAGGAAAGTAAAAGAGCAAGAAAAGGAAGGAAAAAGTGCACAATCAATGTTTACAAAAAGGGTAGGCAGGTAGTAGCAAGACTTGTTACGAATTCTGAACAAAAACTAAAAAGGAATCCCGTAAATCAAGTAAGTATGCAATCATGGTCCCAAAAACACAACACCTAGTAGAGAGAGAGAGAGAGACGAGACATCGCAGAGTCTCAGCCACCGCTGTAAAAAAGCCACTTTATGTTTTCAATCATTATCCTACAACGTACCCTCTCCAAACACGGAAAACGAAAAACCAATCAATCAATCAAATTAAGCTCACTGCAAGTACAAAATTCCCAAACCTGAGAAAGAAGCAAAGTTAAAACCAAAGATTAAAAAGAAAAAAAAAAGGTAAATTGAATCGAACCTGGGGGCATTAATCTGAGAGTGATAAGTTGAATGATCATCGTAGGAGCCATTGGAGCTGACGCTAGAACCAGAAAGGGAAGCAGATCCGAAAGCGAGGGCTTGATCGTTGCCAAAGCTCTGAGTAGAGGAAACGGAAGGGCGAGGCAAGGGAAGGCCAGGCTTGTCGGCGGCGTCGGAAGAAAAATCACGACTAACCCTAGGGGAAGTCTTAACGACGTCGTCGAAGCATTTATTAGTTTTGGGGCTGTGATGAGGCTTTGCCTTCTTGATGAAATTGAAGTGAAGAACGCCGCCGCCGCCATGTGGCTGGTCCTCCTGGTCCTTGCTCTTGCTGGATTTTCTACCCCACCAAGTGGGCATTCTAAGCACTCTCAATTCACAACAAAGAAAGAAAAGAGTTGTTGAATATGAACAATAATAGTAGCTGATATGTTCAGACTAGGTTTTGTTCATTTGGAGGAGGAAGAAGCTACGAAAGAGGATTAGGAAATAGGAAGAGAAATTAAAACAAAAGAAAAAAGGCACAGTGAACAACAGCTAGATAGATAGAGAGAGAGAGAGAGAGAGACGGTGGTTGGATAACTGACGTGGCAATTTCTAAGAAAGAGAAACAAGAGACAAGGCCCACACACTCCATAAGCTTAGCTATCTATCTCTCTCTCGCTGCTCCTACGTGTCACTCTACGTAACGTGTTACGTGCGTATCCTACTTCTTGCATCCCTCTCACTCAAATTTCACTCTTTTGTGTAAAAATATTAAAATAGTAAAACTCACCTCATAAATTATTTTTTATATTTTTTCCAGCAGAATATTAATTTCCAATTTTCCATCTATTTTGCCCTTTACAGTTTACGCACGCTGCAAGTAAATAAAGGTAAAATAAGAACGTGCTCTGTATATCGATTTTACCGGGTTTGAGGGTGTAGTTCTAGAATTAGAAGGAGGGGCGAAAGCGTGTGGATGGAGATGGATTCGGTATTTACGCTGAGTTTTTTAATTAATTTGATTTTCCGAGGGTGCTGTCTGGTTCGTCGTAATGTTAGCTTTTTAACGTAGATCTGCGTCATTGGCCGCGTCATCAACGTCGCTCGGCCACCTCAATGTGACACACATAGCATTTTTCGTACCCATATAAATGCCCACTGCCACCATTCTGTCCCTTTTCGTGTCAATCATAAATATTTCCCCTATACTATAAGTATCTCACACCAATTGCATTATTGATTTTTCACTCAATAATATGCACAAGAAAGAAAATACATCACAACTTCATTCATTTTTATTATGATTCTTTTTTTATCATGATCAATGTTTTTCATTTTTAGATATTGCCATCTATACAGATAACCCAGTGGAAAAAAATATCAAAAGCTCTTACATTCCAATAATATCTTAAAATCTGTCGGTCTGAGATTTCATATAGTACTATTTAGAGAAAATTATATATACATTCATAAACTAATTAAAATAATTAACGAGCATGCAAGAAAGATAGAAGCTGTGTTTTCTATCTAAATAAAGGATGTTTAAATTAAGATGAAGTTATATGCGTGAATTATATCATTCATTACTTAGGGAAGGTTGATAAGAGAGTTGAAGAAGATTTGGAAATGTATACAAGTCCCAAATGATTGGAGCAAAGCATGGGTGTGGGACCTTTTATAAAAGAAACGTTTATCTTAGCACTTGGAGGTTCATGGTCTTCTCATGACTCTGTTTGAGTAATTATTGGGGTGTCTTTATGCCTTGGCTGCTAATGTTGCCCCCATAATTAGAGGTTGTAGAAGTGCTCTCTTCTCTTAGCATGCGTTTAATTGTATCTGCCCAATTTCTTATCCTTAACTCGCTTTTGGGGTTTGAATTTTTTGAAGCTGCACGCTCTTGCCTAGTGGGTATCTTAGATGGGTCTCAATCTTAATCTGCTTTCAGATTCAACCTTATTATGTGCTTCATAATTCCAATTTATTACGCACTAATGCACTATTTTTCCTTTCATTAATGCACTTTTATAAAATTCTCTTTGAAATGATTCTGGGACTGTGGCTCACAAAGGATATAAGCAAGTTTGGATTTATTATTATTATTTTGTTTCCTTTTTAAAATTTTGTACAGCAAGTATTCAAGATAATTTTTTATTTTCACTGTTCTCTGTATAAAAGTTAAGAAAATAAAATATAAAATAAATAAAGAAAATATTTTCAGAAACTAAACAGGTCTCTAGTTTTTCACATATCAACATCCTAATAAAACCTATTTACTATAATTCCTTTATTAGATGTGTTTATTTTTTATTTAATTTATTAGAATTACTTTATTAGTTAATGTGTTTGGATTATATGTTTTGGTTGATTGTGTAAAAAAAAACTGAAAATACTGTTTATTTAAATGATTTTGAAAAATTAACCTATAATCTTTAATTAATTAAAAAAACAATTTATTTAAAATAAGCAAAAATCTGGAGCTTGTAGTTAAAGGTTATACAAACAAAATTAATTAACTTTTATTTAATAACTAATTATTCTAAAAACAAAACTAACTATTACACTAACTTCATATTCCATTTTATAGTTTTAACTCAAAATTAATTATTTTTCAAAATCATTTTTCATTTAACATAGTTAAACACAATTTTATTTTATACCAGTAATTATCACAATAATCAGTTTTTTATATATAATTATTATTATTAAAATACGCTACTTTAATCAAATTACAATGTTGTACCAGTGGAATGTCTCGAAAGTACATATCACAGGCTCGAAAGTACATATCACAATGATTAAGTCTTGAATGGATCAGCTCATTTCTTATATTAGTTTATGATAAGTACATTAGTTAAATAATTAATAAACAAATATATATTTTTCAAATTATACTGATTTCTTAACTGATATTCTTTAATACGGATTAACTTTATAGTTCTATTTTAGTGTAGGAGCCAATTGGCAAAAAATAGTCGAAATTAGACGAGCCTTTATATTTAACACGTTAAGTGGACTACCCTTGACCTATATATGCATCCTAATATGCTTAATATCTAATCCAAGGACTTGGACGTGGAACACATTTTTTATTTTCTTATGGTAGCATTATTGGATATTTCTTCCTTTTTTAATGTCTCAAACTTTGCTCTTACATGGATAGTGCAGTGAAAACCTAAAATCATTCAATTTTTTACTGTTTTTATCTCCATTGTCAAAGACATTTGGATCTTTAACTGGACTATTCGTTCATGATATCATTCTGATACTCCTAGGGGGGGGCTTTGGAATTGCTTAGGTAATTATTTTGTTTAGGTTAAAATATATATTTGATTTTTTAATTAACACTCATATAAATTAGACTTTGTATTTTTTTAAAATATCTATATTTTAATTTTTATACATGTATTTTGTTATATATTGTATTTCCTATCAATAATACTGATAAAATATATTAAGCATGTGAACAAAAATTTTTATTAATAATGTTATAACAGTAGAGATTAAAAAGTAAAAAAAATATTTGCAGGAAAAGAAAAAACAAAATATTTATATAAAAAAGTATAAATTTTTAAATAAAAATAATAATTTGTAAAAAATTTCAACTACAAAGACTATTTGTAATTTTTTAAATTTAGATGTTCGTTTAGTTTGTAGTTATTTTAGTTTTGTTTGCAGCCAGCATAAATCTGTTTGTGAACTGTTGGTGAACATTTGTAAGACTTAATTCATCCCTCGAATTGGAGGTTGGCCACTCCTACTTCCTATTCAAACTCTGCATTCGTTGGTTATAAAGGAAGATACTTATATTATATTATATTATATTATTTATCCGATGTTTATTTAATTTATGAATAGTTTTGACTATTTAATTAATTATTTACTATTAAACTTAAAAAATTTATATATATGTTTCTTACAAATTTAGTAAGAAAAATTTTATCTTCTTTAGATACGGAAACAATTATAACATTCAGAGATTATTAAGGTTAAATTTTATTTTTCTTTTAAGGAAGAAGGTTAACATTTTTTATGTGTTGAGAGTAAAAACTCTATTAAAGATATTAAAATTGAGTTTACAACCCCTCATTACAAATCATATTATCTTATAAAAGGGTTTATGTTATACTTTAATCTTTTTTTCTAATTAAATTTAAATTATTTTTTTACTTTTAAGTTTATATGTTGAATATTTATTTTGACTTCTCCAAACATTTCATTTAACTTTCAATACTGATTAGTTAGACAATTAGTTGTTGAAATTTTATTTTGCCATTGCTATTATCTTATTAAGTTCCTTTGTTACTTAACTTGGCTTTATGTTTAGCTTCTATATTTATATGTTTAAGAAATTTTTGTATGATTTGGGACTATAATAATTTGACTAATAATAACTTGACCCATAAATATTTTTGACACACACATATATATATATATAAACGTGATTAGTCGGAATTAAGTAACTCCACACAACACAATAACTTATCCAAAGTGTTCATCTCTCTCCATGGTTATGCATGTATGTATCTTGTGAAATAACAATAAAATTATTAACACATTTAGATTCACATTAAATTGATAGTAAATTTATATTTATTTTAAAACTACTAATTATAATTTCTTGAATTAAATTTATATTTATAATTTTTTAATACATTTAAAAACATACAATGTGTTTCACTTCTTTATTTCTCTTTGGTTTCTTCTTTGGTTGCTCTATTTGAATACATAGGATATTTTCATATAAAAATATATACATAAAATTAAACCTCATAATTACA